ATAGTCTCAATGAACTGTCCTAACTTAGCTATAGATAATTGATTAATTAGGTGGGCCCAATCTTGATAAGTGCCAAAGAGTGGGGCTAACATGGTATGCTGCCCTTTAAATCAAATAGCACAAATCTCCAAGTTTTCATTGAGTACATGCATGCATGCTGCTACCTAATCTATGGAGGGAAGCTCATTCAGGCTTATCAACAGTACTATAAATTAAAAATGAAGGAGTATTAACGTTAATATTATACTGAAACAGCAGCAAAGATGAAAAAGACAAAGGCCTGTAAAAAAGGCGTATGCATGAATTGAAAGGTCTCTTTCAAATATTCTGCAAAGCTTTAAATATTGGTGAGGAATTGTGAAATTCTACTTTGCGCAATTGGGGATTTGGGGTCCTCCTCCTAACAGTAACCTCTTCATCTTAATGAAGACAAAAGCCAACATAAAAGTATCAAAGGACAAAAGAGCTTCCCCATCTCAACAACACAAGCTCATGATTAATGTCACACATCATATATTTATGCCTGTTCTTCTCTCGCAAACTCCAATTTCTCTCTCCAACTCCTTTAATTACAGCAATATGAAATGTCATATTATCTTAATTATAATGGCATTTGATTCTCAATTAAAATAAATTGATTGGTGTTTAGTTAACTTAGATAAAAAATTGTGATTATATACCGACCTCTGATAAGAGAAATTATTATGTGCGGAGGTCGGACACAGCTCTACGTACGGGGTAATCAGGTGCAGCCGCGTCAGCGAAACCGAGCCGGTACCGAGTTGTATTGGGTCGCGATATCAAATAAAGGGGTGACATGGTACATTCTAGTTGGTCTACGAATGACATTAAGTATCGACACACAATAATTTTTCATATATAAAGAAATGTGATACAAAATTTGATGGAATTGAGTGGAAATCATCACCCTTGTTTAAAGTTAAGGAACAGAAAAGAAATGAAAAACACAAAAGGGAGGTTAGCATTAGCCCCAACTATTACTTTTTTTTTTTGGTTTCACTTTATTTACAGTTGATGACGAAACTGTGAAATTCCTTTTTACTGTTCTATGATGACCATCATTATTCATTATCATTGCTTTTACAGCTGGGTGCTACTGTTAGTCACCTACGTACCCTCTGTGAAAAAAATATTATTAATTCAGAATTAAACTGCTAAAAAACATCTTTAAATGTCTTTAATTCCTGGCTATATCCAATCCAGTTTAGCCAAAGATGACAAGTTTTTTATTTTATTTTATTTTATTTGGTCTATCAAAGTTTATCTTCATCTGCCCACTCGACATCAATCTTATTTTAATCATTTCGGATTAAATTTATGAATAAATAATTAGTTATTTAATCTAGTTTTTATATATCAATATTGTAAATGACTTCAACTCATTATTTTGAGTATACTCATACTCTTTCATAATCTTCTCACAGTAATTTTTTCTGTTCATTTAAAAGTACATTTTCTATTATTTGTTATATATGTTCATATCATATAAATTTATTTTCAATTATTTGATCTTCAATAAATATAATTTCTATTTTTTCCTCAAATATAATTATTCCTTATATCTTTCCTAATTTTGTTGCACATCATTCCAATATTGTTATGCCTATCATGATCAATTAATAAAAGATTTACTACCCAATACTCCAATGTTCAATCCATATAACATCATCAGCCTAAATATAATATCATATAATTCGCCTTTATTTTTTAATGACATTTTATAATTTATACTTGATATATCATCAAAAAATTATCTTGATCGAGCACAAATCTCGAGACAAAATCAAGCCTGAATCTTCAAAAATTAAATATGGGATCACCTGAACTCCAATTTCAGCAAACTTACAATCAAACTGAGTGTCTCGGAAATACAAACACAACGACACCAAAGTCGACTCAATCTAAGCCCAAATGAGTTCAAATCAAGGACCTGAAGCAATGTTGGAAAGTTTGAACCACAATTTGAGTTACCAAACAGTCTTGAAACATGACGTGCTTTTAGTCAAATCGAGCGGCTCAACGAGATGAATCTATCGAGCCCAAGATCGTCGAATTCCGACATCATTAAGACCTTCAAATGTCTGACAAACGGTACACGATCAAGAGATTTAATATCGGTCGTCCATCCAACCACTCCCCATTTACCTCTGATCTGTCACCTATTTACGGTTCATGCCACTCCAGAAATCTATAAGACCCCTCATTTCTCTTGAGAGGGGACCGAAGCAAGAAGAAGAAGAGGAGAAGGAAGAAGAAGAGAAGGGTAAGAGGGAAGAAACACCTCATCAACCACCGTTGGAACTCTGCCCGACTTCCATGGGACATCGGAATTCTGCCCGACTTCTAAGTGACGTCGGAATTCCCGACTTCCACGGGACGTCGGAATTTTGCCCGACTTTCAAGTGACGTCGGAATTCTGGACTTCCACGAGACGTCGGAATTTTGCCCGACTTCCAAGTGACGTCGGAATTCTGCCCGACTTCCACGGGATACAGGAATTCTGCTCGACTTCCACGGGACATCGGAATTCCTTCCGACTTCCAAGTGATGCTTGAATTCCGCCCTACCTCCAAGTAAAGCCGGAATTCCGCTTGACCTCTAAGTGACACCTGAATTCCGCCTGACCTCCAAGTGACGTCGAAATTCGGCCCGACATCCAAGTGACGCCGAAATTCCGCCCGACTTCCACGGGACACCAGAATTTTGTCTGATCTCCAGATGACTCTGGAGTTTTTCCCAAATACCATCTAATGCCGGAGTTCTCCCCGACCGCTGACTAACGTCGGACTTCTACCCAATGCCGGACCTCCGCTCGTTGTCAGATTTCTACCCGACGCCGACTTCTGCCCGTTGTTAGATTTTCGTTGGACATCTATAAGATGCTGAATTTCTATCCATTCATGGACTTCTACCTGACATAGTCCTTCCGACCTCCGTCGCCATATATGGTCCTTCCGACCTCCGTCACCCACTGACTATGATCATTCTAACTTACGTCGCCCACTGACTATAGTCCTTCCGACCTCCCTCGTCCGCCTACTACGGTCCTTCCGACTTACATCGCCCACCGATTACAGTCCTTTCGATCTCCGTCGCCCGCCGACTATGATCCTTCTGACTTACGTCGCCCACCGACTATAGTCCTTCAGACCTCCGTCGCCCACATACTACGGTCCTTCCGACTTACGTCACCTACCGACTACAGTCCGTCTGACCAAATGAACACGTCAACAATAGCTCTTCATATTCCCATCATGTAATGTACTGCATATGATGTACATAGAGCCAAGGCCTTCCCTTGGCCTTCCCTCCAAGGAAGGGCCTCATTTGTAATCAACTGCAATACTAGTGGATTCATTCAAACTGGGCTAGACCCCGTGATTTTTCCCCCTTTTCAGGGGTTTTCCACATAAAAATCTTGGTGTCTCATAAATGCTATGCATTCTCTCTTATCTGATTGCGTGCCAGATTTTTGTACAACGTTAAGATGTTAAATTCTATATTTCTCTATCGCCGCGAATACTCCAAGACACAACAATACTTCTCATTCTTATCTGATTTATATTTTTTTCTATAAACTAAATCCAAAATATTTAAAATTTTCTCATTTAAATATCTCTTTATGTTTTAATAATATAATTAATAAATTACTTATGTAATATTACTCGTATCATATTATATATTCAATCTTTATTCGATTATTTGTAAATATTTTATCTTACATCTTTTCATTCTTTTAACTTTTTATTTGTTACAATAAATGTTTTATTAATTAAAAAAACTGTTTCTTCTATAAGATGGCCATAATCTATTAAAATAATTTTTAACAAGCATCTACTTAATCAATACAATAATAATACCCCTTATAATATTTATTATAATGTAACTAAAAACTACTAAATCACTTCACAACAATCTCTAATGATAATCAATGCATGCTTGTAATCTTATGGTAATTAGGGAATCAAAAGAAACAAACGTTCACAATCTACTTGTAGCTCATTCATGATCGTTTAATTAAGTGATCAAATAAACTTGAACATTTTTAAGTACTTGATACTTAAATAAACATGCTTGAAAAGCTATGTGCTCTATCATGAACAATATTGCTTAAACATTAAGATACAAAGCTTGTTAAGAAGCTCATGAACATGCTTGATACAAAACTCGTTAAAAAGATATAGAGCTCACGAGAAAGTTCGCTTAACATTTTATATAAATATTGATTAATTCTCATTATAAAAATGATGAACAAATTAATATAAATAGTTTATATTTATTACAATTTAAAAATATAATAAGTATTGATTAATAAATTACAAAATTAATTAAATATTATAATATATATTATTTAAAATAAAACATAAATATCCATTAATTAATATTATGTTATTAAGTGTAAAATAATTAAAACTATATTTTTACAATATTATATAATTATAAATTTATACCTTTTCATAATTGCAACCCTGCAACTAGAGGCATTGGAGGTTCATTTGGTAGCCTGTAGTTTTTTCATAAAAGTGATTATAATATTATTCTAGAGAAAATATTTTAAAAAAAAAAATTGATATAGAACGCAAGTACCTATCACAAAATTTCTCAAAACAATAAACAAAATAATTGTCAAATAAAAATTATGATTGTAATATGAAAAATAAAACTGCCACAAATAAACAAAACCCAAATTATATTCATTCAAGCAATTAATGTTCGGAATGGAAAAAAAATAAATAAAGATAATCTAACAAAAATTTAATCATAATGACTTAACAACCATTAAGTTTCCTTTAAAATAAAAATAATGCATAGTTAACCATTTAAAAATTGTTTAGAATTCATTTCAAAATATATGCAACAACTAAATATATGAAAAGTGGCATAGAAGACCCCAAAAGAAATTAAGGGGTCTCTAATATTGTTAAAGAAAAGTTAGCCAGTCCGATCCCAACGGGAAATTTATGGGGTGACTCCAAGCATTAAACTCCAACCACGTCGATTCATGCAGAGAGTTTGGAATTTGTGCGTAATAACAAATGGACAATAGGAACACAAAGAGGGGTTAGGGAGAGAACACTTGAAAATACATTTTATACTATTCTCGTTGTAAGCCCGCCCAATTGGCTTTTACATATTCACAGAGAAAGAATAACAAAGTGATTGTGCCTTACTTTTATCTCATGTCATGGAAGCCGCCATTTAGTTGCTTTCAACTGATGCGTAGAAAATCGGCATGGCCCGTCACCATTTAAACTTTACTCGACATGAAGCTCAAATCAAATGAATCTTTCTTTTCTTTCATGATCTATAATATATGATGATGCATCAGTTGGTTGGCTCCTTCCAACAGTCAAAATATTTGTAAATTGCTGCTGCAGCTCATTACTGAGATTCAAGACATCCAACCTATACACCTGAATCATAATTGAATGACATGGTAAATTGTGAGTGAGTGAATGAGTTAGTGATTGTAAATCTCTTTTTTTTATTTTTAATAAAAAAAATGGGCGTAAAGTAAAAAGAATTCAGGAAAGATGGTTTTTTTTTTTTCTTTCTTTTTATTCGTAGAATCCCCAATTTACAAAGTTAGCTAGCTATGTCAATCATGCTAAAATAATGTGTATAGAGAAGGATGGATTAACAACCACCTCTGTTTCATGCTATTCACACCATGGAGGTTCAAATATACCATCCATATTTGGGTATCTAAAATTTATTTGACATAACGAATATTAAATTTTGATAAACTAATTTATTATTTGTTACAAGATTTTAAAATTTGTGAGAGGGAGAAATCATTGAGGGGTTGTCTAGTTGGATTACTTTAGAATGTAAAGTATTCAAAAATGCAAAAGTTTTACAAATTTGGGTGTTCGGTATAATAAATGTAATTTAAAGTTTCATTTTGAACGTGAAAATCATTTACACCACAAGCTTGTCTGACCACCACTCGTTGCCGGACACCACTAACCGCCGCCACCACTGTTGCTAACAACCCTCCTGATGCGGACGGTCCATGCCTATCCGAGGAGGAGCTGAAGATAGACGGCTGAGATCCCTTCATTTTATCTTATTTTATTAATTGTAATTTTTATTTAATTATGCATTTTTTTTTTTACCCTTACGTAAGGGATTTGTTTATGTAAGCCCAATGGGCAAATTTGTCTTTTAGTTTCTTTTAAGGCTTATATATAGAGGCATTTGCTCTTGTATTAGGATATGATGGAATTATAATAAAAAAAAAATTTGCTTTTTGCACTTGGGTTCTTTAGGAAGAACGTTAGTGAAATCTCTATGGGAGGGAGTCAGAATTTCCACCAGCCGCAGGATGGGTCCGGGCTCGTGGCGTGAAGTCCCTTGGAGAAGGGCAACGTAGTACCCGTCAGCCGCAGGATGTGTCCGGGCTCGCGGTTCTATCTTTGATATTTGTTTATTTGCTTTTGTTCCTTCTTATTGCTCTTCGTCGTTATCTTCATCTTCTTCCACTACCTCCGTCCACCATCGTCGTCTCCGTTCCCACCATAAGCCGCCGGCCACCTGTCATCTTCCCATGGCCATGCCTCCTTCCAATTTGGGTTGGCAAAATCGAGAAGGAAAATCCATGACAATTTTGGATTTCAAATTTCAAATTTGAAATATTTCCTATTTGGGTTTGATCCATATTTGGAAGGTTTTAAATCACCAATTCAAAATTCAAATTTAGGTTGGAAGGTTTTAAATCTCCTCTTATTTTGTTTCCTAATTTAGGTTGGGATCAATTGGAATTAATTTGAAATTCAAATTCATTCAAATTTGAAATTCAAAATATTTCCTAATTTAACTCTTTTATTTTAGGAAAGTATTTGATTTAGATCTAATTTTGAATTTTAAATTCAAGAGGATTTAAATTAAATCATTCCTAAATCTAAAACCTTAAATTAGGAATCCTTAATTGCTCTCATTACTTCCCCCTCACCCATGCATCCCGCCGTTCCCCCCTCCCTGGATTTTATGAAGAATAGGAATTAGGATTTAATTCCTAAATTCCCTCTCACCTCACCGCCTCCCCCTTAGTTGAATTAATCCCCTAATTTCTTCCCCTTATTCCCGTCAACCTCCATTGGGAAAGAATTTCGCAAGCCAACCTGCTGTTGGCCGGAGCATTCAAAGGCTTTCTTGGTTATTTCGTTTATTTCCTAAAACCCATATATGCATTTGAAAAGACTACCAATTTCAGCCCTTAGTCAGGCCGAAATCTCCTCTATGCCTGCACCGCCTAAATCCTACTAAAATCAGCCTTTTTTTTTCCTCTGGAAGTAAATCTTTGCCTTAAATCCCTGCTGGCAGATTTTTCCCAAGGCCTTGCCCGTGGGATCTCTTCCATTAAACTCCCCAAATTCCACGTGACAGTGATTCTACTCCTTCCTCCAACTGCAGCATAAAGTATCCTTCATTGTCTTGCATCCACACCTCTTGGAAGTTCTAAAATTGCTGATCTGGAAGAGGAAAACTGCTGTACACCATTCTTCTTCAGCCCTTGGAAGACCTCTAGCTGCTGTGTTGGAAGAAGAGTTGCTGTCCAAGACTTCTAAGAGTCAAAAGCTGCTGTTTAGACCCCTCGATTTGCTCTACAAGACCCTTAGGATCCAATCCTCCTAACCGTTCTACATCACCTCCACTGGCTACCGCCACCCATCACCACCCCAATCATCATCATTTAGGACTTTAATCTACATTCATTACTTCTAACCAAACAAAAAAAAATTCATTCATATGCATTTACTTTACATTCATCCAAAACAACTCCAAAGTTTTCCTTTTACACTACATTCTTTTTTTCAGCCAACTAAATAGCCCTGAATCTATTAAACCTTATAAATAATGATGATTTAACTAGATTTAATCAATAATAGGATTGAAATAGCATTTATCAAAATATTAGGATTTAAACTCCCCAAAATTTCGTTCGGCCAGATTCAACCTAAATGTTGCTTAAAACCTGCCTAAATAGGATACCAGGCTTTACCGTGTAAAAAAGAATTTTATGATTGAGGACATAAAAAAAAAAAAAAGAGTTATTTGCAATTTGGTACCTGCTTTGAGAAGATATAGAGTATGAAACCTCAGGAACTGGGACAAACGCATAGCTTCTAAGATCATATGCTTTATCATTGCCTTCATCATCCTCACTGTCAATTGTTCCTGACAACACTCTGGTTCGGTTACTCATCCGTCTCAAAACGTAAACGTTGTAGTAATAACTCACTATATCTTTTTTGCTCTTGGAGGTGAAATACTTTGTGGCGGGTTCCAGAAAGCTCTTACCCTCGGATAAAGGATTAAGCCTCACTAAGTTATCAAAAATTGTTTGCTCCTCACTTGTCCATGACTTCGATACATCTTCTTCACCCATTTCGTAAAACCCCCAATATCTGAAAACTGAACCCAAGTTGGATTTAAGCTGAAGCCTTGCAGAGTTCACATGAATCTTGATGCATTCTACAGAACCTGGGTGAGCGCAATAACAAAAGTCTGCCCTTCCTTTCCCTATCTTCTCTTCAATTATCTTGACATTACAAGCTTTTGCTGGCCAAACCGGGGTACCCAACCATCTAGAATCATCCGCCTCAACATAATCATCCGAATCATTCTTGTAACTTGGTGATCCAGTCCAATGAGGCACATCGGCCTGAAAAGAAGAGCCCACAGGAATCCGTGTTCTAGGGAGATGGCTGTCACCAATTTTTAGCAAGCCAAGGGTCCTTTGAGATCTTCGTGTTGGCTGCTGTAACATCTCACCTTCAGCTCCTCTTGATGTTTCACTTGAACAAAAACGAGCTTTCCGCTTTCTCTGTAATATCAATCTTTTTGTTGAAAACCGCATTAAGCAGAACATTAAAAAAAATGACAAAACTGTAATTTAGGTAGCAGCAGCACAAAAATTACGTGGCATCCGTGTAAAAAGTTATAATATGTAATAAATAATCACAGGTGGAAAATTGGTCAGAATTATGAGAGATTATTACATGCACTCCGGACTGTCCGAAGGCAAATCCGGACGCGCCAAATCATCCGGATGCACCGGGCCCCGGATATTGTGGCGTGCCAGGATTCGCCACCGGACGAATCCGGATGCCGCACGTAATAATTTTCCCAGAACTACAGTCCCTAGAGATAGGCGGAACAAAATAATCCTGCACTGTTCATTTTAATAGACAACACTCGATCGAATTAAAAAGGCGTGCTTCTCTGTAAATTACAAAGTACGAACCATACATACCATGGCTCCATTAATACTTCATGATGAAGAAATTCAAATAAAGAACAGTTCAAATAAATTATCTAGCATTCCTATTTCTTGCAGATTCAGAAAGAGGCAAAACAAATATAAGTACCATGGCTGTGGATATCAAGTTCCAGAAATTATTAATTATGTTCGTAACCACTAACCTTTAAGGTGTGAAAAGCGATAGCTCCAAAAATCAGAGTCTTTTATCATTCAGATTAAATATGTTCCAGCTCACAAATTCAAAATCTCGTTTATAAGTAAACGAATATCATATGATTACAGAAAGAAATCCCCTAATAAACAAATAGGACGAAAGAAAAATCTAGAAAATGATTATCATACTAACCTATTGTGCTGGCATGATAGACCTAAGCGTGATTAGCCATGAATTATTTACATGAAACAAAAAGGTTATGCACCAATGTACTTGATAATATTAAATGCTACATTCATTGACACAGAATTTGTCCAAGCTGGTGAGATTTGTATTTAGAACCGATGAAAATGTCCATCAAATAACTTCTACAATCAAATTTATTTTAGTTATATTTTAAAATGACTATAAGAATGGGATGTGCCCTTAACTAATCTGATCCCAAATACAAGCTTAATTTTTGGTTGGCGTGGACTCGGTGATGCAACAGCGGAGTACAATCCAGTGGGCCAATCATTTCTAATGAATACTTGCTTATCCTAACTATAGTTATTGTTGAATCACACAGCTAAGGGGACGCCACGTCAGCAATTTAAGAGCTACAGTTGGAAATCCGTGAGATATGATTATTATAATTAATTATATTAAATGTCTTTCCTTTTTCAATTTATTGTACTAGAATGCATATATATGTAATGATTCTAAGAAATAGAATAGAATTTAAATTTCCCTCTAAACAATTTCTTCATGGTATCAGAGCCTAGGAAAATCCTAAGCCTTCTCTGTTCCAAATCCTCAACCAGCGGTAACTCTCCATCATCCTACAGATAGCCTCACTTTAAGCATCGGTAGCCCTTGCCCAAAATTCATCTTCTCTTTCAACCGAGCAAACTCAACCATGTCCATGAATAGCGAGATCTCATCCTCCTACCCAAATTTATCGGTTTAAACACCGAAAATTCTGGATCTACAGAGAACTCTTCTCCTCTTCCTAGACCATGGTGTGATCATTGTGCCAAACCAAGACATACAAAGGAGATATGTGTGTTGGAAGATTCATGAAAAATCAACTGATTGGAAGGCAAACAAAGCAACACAAGAAAGCAAGGCGAATATGTCAACACCACGCAAAATCAATCCATCAAAGCTGAAGCCATTCCTTTCACCAAGGAGCATTTAGAGATGCCGAAGTTGTTGCTTAACAACATCACGAACCAACAATCTCCAAAATCTGCTACTAGCCTACACTCTCGCTCAGGTATGAAACAGTCAAAATTTTGGGTTATTAACTCAGGAACATCAGATCATATGACAAGAGACATTAAACTCCATGACTATCAACCTTATCATTCAAATCAAGTAGTTAAGATTGCTAATGGCTCAACATCCAAAGTTTTGGGAACTGATTCTGCTTTTGTCATAGAAGCTATCACCCTTAAATCGGTACTTTATGTGCACAATATTGAGTGCAATCTGATTTCCATTAGTAAATTGACTCGTAATAGTAATTGCTTAACAATTTTCTCCAATAATGTATGTATTTTTCAGAAACTGGATTCAGAGAAGAAGATTGGTAGTGTTGAGATGTTTTCTAAAAGCATTATAAGATTTTTTAAATGTCGTATGCTTTTCCCTAAGCAGCTCATGGTTAACTGATGCAGAACTATATGTGTAATAGGAAATTTGCACAAAATAATTAAAGAGCAATTTTGGATTTTTGTTATTAACAACTAAAACAACAAAATGAAACTAATAAGCGGTCACTTCCGTTTAGGCTAAGCTACGCAAGAAACTAAACGAAATCAAAACATTTAGGGAAATTAAAGCATTGCATGCGGAGTAGTTCCAACATAACATTGGCCTAACAATGAGATCTAAAAGCAAAGAAGTAACAATCCTACGATTACTAGTGGGTGACGATTAGTAGACACAATCTCTTGCTTGAACAATCTCTCTATGAGGTAAGTAGAATTGGAAAGTAAATGAGCCGAGGAAGAAGATCACCTTCTCGGAGAGACGTCTTGATTCACCACGTACCTTCCAATGATTGATCCTTCAAGGCTTAATCAAATCGCATATCTCGTGATCAACGGACTTTCTATGGATCCGTCTATGCATGGATTCACGTCGTCGAACGGCAATTAGAGAGGATCCACGAAATCTTAGCCGTCGTGTGCAAACCGGAATCAATCTCCGGATCGATCGTACATCTTGGATAAACGAAGGAGAAAACACATTGAGAGAGGGAGAGGGGGTGGACGGTGGGGAGGGAGGCCAGCGGCTTGTAAGGGGGGAAAACGGCTAGAGTTAGGGAGGAGTTAGGTTGGGTGGAATATAAATTGTTTTAATTCTCAAATCTGAAATTATTCTCAGATTTGAATAAGAATGGAGGGAAAATAATTGGACTTTGAATTTCAAATAGCATGCAATCAAGTCCCTTAATGAAGCATTAAAGGAGAGGGGCCCACTAAGGGGGCCAGCAGCATTGGAGAGAGGGAGTGGGGTGAGGGGGAAAAGGAGTTATGCGTTTCCTAATTCGATCCGACTAATTAATGAAGAAAATTTCGAATCCGCTCAAATTCAAATTTGAAATTTGAAACCTCATCGAAACTTTCCAAATTTGGCGTCGGGCAAATTTGAAAACTTCCACTTTGAATTTCAAATTTTGAAAATTCATGGGGAAGACAAGAGGGGCTGGTGATTGACGGAGGAAAAGGTGGTGGGTGAAGGGGAGGCCGGCGGTTAAGGGGATGGCCTGCGGGATGATGGGGGAAGGCACGGTTTTGTGGATATAATGAGGTGGAGCTTGGATGGATGAGGTTAGGAGGTGGGGGATGACCGGCGGTGGATGTTGAGTAGGAGGAAAAGAAAGAAAGAGGATAAACCAAGAGCCACCAGTGGTGACTGTTGGGTACGATGGGTGGCCTCTCCTAGGCTCCACCAAGCTCTCAAACTCTCACTCTCAAGCTCTCACAAAAGCTTTAAGAAGACAAATGCAGGAAAATTTCTTAATATCATTCATTAGCTTCAAAAGTACAAGATGAATGCTTTAAATAGCCTATTACAATGACTTAAAGCAAAAGGACTCAAATACCCTCAAGGGGTTACATGACTCAATCCCTCAAGCAAGGGTAAAAAGGGAAAAAATGCTGAAATGAAATACATCAATAAGAAAACAACAATAATAAAATCAAAAGTACATCGGATAAATCGTGGCCGTACATCTACGACCACGTCGACGGTAGACTCTCCAACTGATGTCCCCATCATTAACATAGAAAAAGAAAACAAAAATTAGGAAAAAAAGAGATGAGAGAGAAAACAAAAGTCCGATTTTGGGCGACTTCGAGCCGTTTTCATTCGTCGGCCCAGTTGGGAAACTTGTTTGTCTCTAGATAAGACATTATGTCCATCTCAATTTTAAAAAAATTGTTAAGTTTTAGTGAATATTTCGATTAAAAGTTTGTATCCGTTAGCAAAAAATGAGATAACTTTGCACAGGTAAAACTTTCGCTATGTAACTTTTTCTATGTTATAGAGATTGAAATTATGCAAACTTTGAATAATTTTAAAAAATTTTATACTGGGGGTTTTAAAATTTGCAGAGTTTTTATTAAATAGAAAATTATTTGAATGTTGAAAAATAGTGTAATACAATAAAAGTCTTAAGAACATCATTTTACACAATCCTTGATAATTTGATAAATTTTTTGAAAATATGCATTTTTGCCTTATTAGATTTTTTGTTGTCTACTGTTACATGCTCAATTATTCTTTAATTATTATAATGTGATAATATATGTGCATATATGATTAAATTATATATGTTAGGAACCATAAGGGGCTAGAATCCTTTGAGATTCTGTTTGTTTCAGGAAATTATTGAGAGTTATAGCGAGCCAAAATCATTTGAGATTCTATCCAAGACAGTGATATGTGATATATTCTAGTGCTATAAGCACAAATAAAAAGGGTGTCATAAGGGGTCAGAATCTTTTGAGATTTTGTCTGGGTCTGGAAAATGTGATATGAACTACTCTGTGATATGAATTTCAATTTAGCTATTTGTTTAGTATTGTTATTTAAATCAGGACATAAATGCTATTCATTTATTACATCTCTCAGTATAATAATTTGTTTAAACTGCATTTAACTGCTTTTAAATATTCAAAAATTTGATAAGAGAATATTTGGAAATTTAGATTGGTTTGTGTGGCTTGCTGAGCTGTTGTAACTCATTGTGGTTTTACTTCTGATTTTCAAGATCTGGGAAGGGGAAAGAGGTTGTGGACTAGCAGTTCAAGATCAAATCTGAGGTCATAGTTATTTTATTATTTTGATTTTTGTACATTCATGACTAGTTAAATTTTCAATTCTATAGCACTTGTCTGTAGCCATGTACAGTAGT